CCCTCGGCGCCGGTCCTCCGCCGGCGGCGCGGCGACGCTCAAAGGCGAGCCACATCTCGGCGCAGGCGGTGACCGCCTCCCTCGGCAGCGCGGCCAGTGCGGGCAGCCCGTACGAGCGCTGCAGCGCCCGTGCGATCATCGCGCGGCGAGGGCCATTCCGTCTCCACGACTTGTACAGCTGCTGAAGGAGGGCGGCGGCGGCGAGAGAGGCGACGATCCAGAGCCCGCGGAGGAGGTCGGAGACGGGGTCCGGCACCGGGTCGGGCTGCGGAGAGCGCTTCTCCCAGGGCGGCTTCCAGCCCATTGCGGAGCCAGAACCGGCAGGGAAGGTGTCCGTGTTGGCTGGCAATTAAAGAATTTGAATCTTTCGAGGTTAATCTCCTTTGGCCGCGTTGGGACCGGCAGGCGGCGGCGTCGCAGGACGAGGCAGAAGAGAACGACGCGACAGAGGAGGAAGTGACAAGGGAGAGACCGACGAGAGTGGGACGGCCGCGAGGTGGCATGAAGGTTGCAGCGAGAAGCGGCGAGAGACTGCGAAAAGAGATACGAAGAGGCAGACTCCCCAGGGTGGGCGACGGCTAGCGCACCACACTCCTCTCCTTAAAATCCCTGTGTGGTGGCGGCGTGCCGTTCTCCCATCCCTCCCTTGGGTTGTCTGTTTTCTTTCTTTCTTTTTTTTGGCCGCGTTGGGTAGCGAGGATTGGTGTGACGCGATCCACGCAGGCGTGTTTTCTGGCGGCCGACCGTCAGTGCACGGAGTTGCCCCTTCTCCGACTGCCCCGGCTAGTTCACGAGTTGGAGTTATGAAATGAACTCGGGGGCACGGGACGCGGCACAAACGGGGCACAAACGCCAGGCTACAAAGACGGGGAGGCACGTAGTGACGCAGGGGAGTCTAGGCGACGGCGGCGTCCTCCGACGCCGCGGCGAGCCTGAGCTCGGTCGCAATCTCTTCCGCCGCCGCGAGCTGCAGCGCGACTGACATGCTCACGAGTTTCGCGGGAGTGACCCCATGAAGGCTTCCTCAGTGGGTTAAAATTCTTTAGTGAGTTCGTTTTCTTGCCCTCAGGTGAGCGGCGCCGTCAGCCCAGTTTTGCTGCCCGAGCTGGCGGTGGGCGACCTGGCCGCGCTGCGAGCCTTCCTCTCCGGGCGGCAGACGCGTGGCACGTCGCTCGCGGCCCAGCTCGACGCGTGGCTCGACACCGAGAAGCAGGACACGCTGCTGACCTGGGCCGCTCGCCACGGGCAAGCCGAGGCGGTGCGGCTGCTGCTCGAGGGCGGCGCGAGCGTCGGGGCGACGAATGGCGGCGGCGCGTCGGCGCTGTTCATCGCGTGCCAGAACGGCCACCTCGAGGTCGCGCGGCTGCTCCAGCAGGCTGGCGCGGCAGTCAACCAAGCCAACAACAAGGGCTCCATGCCGCTGTTCATCGCGTGCCAGAACAACCGCCTCGAGTGCGCCCGGCTGCTCAGCTTCATCGAGGCGGGCGCGGCGAAGGACCAAGCCCGCAACGATGGCGTCACACCGCTGCTCGCCGCGTGCAAGCAGGGCCACGTCGAGATCGCCCGGCTGCTC